AAAACATCATCATGGATCTTCTGGCCTCTCCAGAAGACCAACATGATCCTCCGCCCTCCCACCCCCATACATATGGTAGGCTTAGTAGGAAGCAGGCAGAAGCAGGTTGCTGCCTCCAACAGTCTGAAAGCGCTGGCGGGATCCCTGAGCCCACCCTTCTGCGCCCTGCTCAGGCCATGACTGTAATTCCCCCTCAATGCTATACCAGATCTACTCTCAACATAGCACTGTAAGGAAAAGAGAATGGCGGCACTGCATGTGCAGCTGCCTGGGCTCGCTCCTTCTCCTGTCATTACTGAGCAAGCGCTTCCAGGTCAGGCCAGGCCTGCTGTCAGCATCCGGGGAACCTGCATTTGCCTAAAGCTGCTAAGTTCATGTGCTGGACCTCCTGGGAGTCACATGTCAGACCGCAACAGTCAAAACCCTGTGCAGGACAGACTGTGGTTTTGCCTGGATGGAAGGGATATGCCATCAAGTTTCTTTTAAAGGAGACAAGTCTGAAGGGGATAATATGCCTCGCTCTTTATTGGATCCTAAGAAGCAGTGTATGAGCTGTTTGTGGGCGTGTCTGAGCTTGCCTTCAAGTTACATAAAAGTCAGCTAAGGGCACACTCCCATGTCTATAACAACAGAAACAAAGTCCTGCAACCTCCACCATGGCGGGTGGGCGTGGCAGGAGCCAGGCAGGACTCTGTTTCTGTCAGCCTGGGATTGCACTTCACAGGCCCGAGATTGGCCTGAATATCATTAGCAACTGAGGTGGAATCCCAACCTCTCTCTAGCGTGGTCTCCTGCTCCCACACTACTGCTGTCTCAATAATCCCTTTCATGCTTTTATCACATTATCTTGTCATGTCATGTGCCACTGTCATATCTCCTCAGTTCTGGCTGCCTTGGGGAAGGTATTTCTAGGTCTTTGAGGATTCCTTCTGCCACAGGAAAAATAAAATAAACATTTCCTGTGACACATTCAACCCATTCGCTATAGAAACCAGTCTAACTGAATGGATATTCCACATTTCCCAAGAGACTGGGTGGGAAAAGATTGCTAGAAAGATTACAGTGGGCTCAAGAGGCTGAGGCCATCCGTTCAGTTAAAGCAGATTCTCATCTGTAGTTACAACTGGGAAATCGCCATTCACATTAATGGGGGGAAAATTGACACTGCAATTTGCTTTAAATGGCCATTATACCTCTGGGAGTTGTTTATGGTAAGACTAGATTGGTGTCAGCAAGCAAGAGCTGGTGCTCCCACATTCTCTTCATGTTAGGATGATCTTCAACACTGCAAGAGAGAGGAAATGAAAAATTGCAGCTCTCTTTTCCCAGGACTAGTTTCAAAAGGGAAATGATTCATAATTATCCTCCTCTTTTAGAGGCTTTTAGAGGCTGGGAGTTTTCTTACAATATGTAGGCAGAGTGAGCATGTTGGCAGCTTGGCTTGTTCCTGGTTTCTCAGGGAGGCACTGAAGATATTTTGCTAGGGGTATGTGAGCTCTTGTTCAGTCGCTTCTCTCTGCATTTCATACACTGTCAGTAACTTTTCCTTCCTTCAACCTTTGCTTGACGGAATCAGCATTTTTAGCTCATGGTCTGAGCTTTATAGGAGCTATCCATGGTCCTGAACTTCTGTAAATTAGGTTCACCACCAGTGACAGTACATTGTGCTTGGGCCTGTGTTCAGTTCTGAAAGGTGTGAATTGGGTATATTCTGTAAAAAATCAAGCTGAAACAAATTCCTTACATATCACTGATGAAAAGACTTAATCATACTAGGGCTGAGGAGAACAAAACCAACACAAGACAAAAACCAGATGTAAACCCAATGTTGAATTCAAAATAGATATAGCCCTTTGCTGCTCAGCATTGCATTCAAGATGGTTTCAGTATGTGTAAAGAGTCTAGAAATATTTATGGCTGGCCCTGTGCTGTTATGCATATAGCTAAGAAGTAATGGTCAACATGCACGGGAAGTTACATTTGCAGAACACAAAAAAGGCTCTTTCTTCCAACTTCAGCACAGCTGAGGCTAGCAATTCAGTTCCCCAGATGTGCAAATGATGCCTCGAGAGGGGCATGCTTCCTAGAGAGCTATTTCATTGCTGCTAGATTTATATACAAGTATAAGTGATAACTACAATTAATCTGACAAAAGATAAATATTTATGGCTCTATTTAGCGATTGTTCCTGCTATTAATAAACATAAGCATCTTGTGTAAGCTTCTTTTTTGACAAGCTAGCAAAACATCTATAAAATGTGTTCATATGTTATCAAGAGTTTTGTGCTTGCTTCAAGAAGTTCAATTATGAGGTTTATAAAGCAGAAACAGAAGAAACAAGAATAAGATTTTTGGGTGGAATTGCATGAATTTAAACCTCAGCAAGGTTAGCTCTTGCTCATTTTTGCAAGGATCTTCAAGTTCTCTATACAGGACAATTGAAGGAGGAATCGAGGCTTAATTTCACACATGACAGTAAAGGGCAACGTACATGCTGATGCAGATGCCAAATGGTACTGTGACACTTGCTATGTGTGTTAAAAGTGCTCATTATTGCTTCTACCTCCAAAGCCTCAAATATATGTTCACATATTGCATTAGGAACTGATAGTATATAAAGTTGTGAAGACAGTTATGTGAAATAAGTCGCCTGCCATCATTTAAACATTGCACATTACTTTAACAGTTCCTAGAAGTTTCTTGTGAACAAGAATTGTTTCTACTGTTGTAATAAAGGAACAAAAGTTCAAACTGTTTTCACTTGACTATGGAATAATCTGTAATTGTAAATCTTCTGGAATATGAAGCAGGCAACCCCCGGCTCTATCACTGGTGTCCATAGCAGAGAAGCCAGTGAAGCTCACCATATCCAAGATCTCAACACTGGTTCTGAGTGGTTGTAATGCCTTTCAGAAGAGGCAGGAAGTACAGCCCCAAGTAGTTCTCTGCCCTTGGGTTAAAATCTGGATCCAGACTAGGCCCATCAATTGTCCTGTGGTTGGAGAAATATAATGTGCAGTATGCCTCTAAGAAGATAGCTAAACTGGAGGTCTTTGGGTAGCTGTACCAAGGTACCAGCATGTTGTATGATATGCAAAGGTAAGAAGCTAGGTAGGGCTGCTGATGAACTAGGATTCCAGATGCTAAGAAGAGCCTATCCAGGTGACCATCTGGGACCCCATCCAAGTCACTCGCTCCAGCACAGAAGTCTCTGCCCTCCTTGGGTCAGCAGACAGATTTGGAATTTTGAGAGAGGATCTTAAGGGACACTTCTAGGGTGAGGCTTGACCATTCATAAAATGGGCAGGCCAGTCGCAAAACATCATGTTCCAGAAGGCAAGTGATAACATTTACAGAAAAGCTACTTGCCCATGAAGCAAAGGCCAAGACAGAGATGGCACTGGAGGATAGCACTCTGACTTGCAGCGCATCAGCTTCCCAGGTAAAAAGAAATAGGAGGGACAGGGAGCCCAGCCAGTACCGAGGAGGTGTCATTGGGTACTATGGTCTCCATGGGCACCACTTTGGAAAGCTCAGCTCTAGCAATTTGGCTTTTAGCAGCAATTATCATTTCCATGAAAAACAGGTCATATGAGAATCCCAATTTTTCTTTTGCCTCATTTTTGGCATTGTCAGAATACCTCTGGCAATCAAAATAAAATGGAAGCTAAGTTATTTTTAATATCCCATATACTGGACTGTTATGCTTTTCTACTTCTGTCCTAGTTTAATCTTAGGTCCATTTAAAAAAAACCTATGGGATGCCATGTGACCACATGCATAGAAAGAATTGCTGCTGTCCATGCTCTGAGGGGAAGCTTTGCTGTTCTGATAGTATAGGATCTACCCTGGAAATGAAAATAAACCCTTGATTGAATTCTGTACAGTTTGAACAGCACCTGGATCACTGTATGGATGCATTAAAGCACTGAGGAATCCCAGCAGATTCCAAAATACTGCCTGCGTAGGGCCGGTGCTGGTGCGACCATGCTGAGGCTCCAGCGTGGCACGTTTGGTGATGACACTGCCAGTCCCGAGCCATAATGGTGGCCTTGGGGCATGTGAGGCCTGGTCTGATGCAGCAGGTTCCTGTTCCAAAGTGGCACTGTTACAAAGTGCAGCCAGTTCCAGAAGTTCTGTTATATCCATTTGGGGTGGGCTTTGGTAGCATCTATGAGTTTCACAGCACAACACAACTTTTGAGAAAGTATATGAGTGGTGAGGTCAGCAAAAAGAGCTTCTTTGTCGAAACTCTTATGTAATATCTGAATAAACAAAATGAAAGTTCTAAAACTGAGGCCCAGTTATCCACAAGAATGCCTGCAGACTTACACATAGCATTGACAACAGCTTGTGAAATTACACATGATTTTGGTGGATTCTTCCTAAGGTGATCAAGTGCATAATTTCATGACACTCTTTTGAGGATTGTTTTTAAATTGAGAACTTCATTGTTTCAAGAAGAATCTCTCTCACACTCTGTGTGTGTGTTTTTCCTATCCTTGCATAATGTGTGTGTTTGTGTTTCCTTGGGTAACAGATTATTTGTGTAATAATAATAATAATAATAATAATAATAATAATAATAATAATAATCTGCTAGATTATTTGTAAAAAATCTAGAATATTTCTATATTTTATTCAATTATGTAAACAGGGCACATTTCAAATTGTGGTGCCAAATTTTAGTTCCCATATTAAAAAAATATGAACTTAAATATTCATCACATTCTGACATCTTTGGATATTCATCCCAGTTGGAATACCACTGCTTTGGATCATGCCCTGTATTTTACTATTCCTCTATCATAAAAGACCAAGTGAAGATAACAAAATGGTTACATATAAACATAATCTTCAGGTTTCACATCCTGCATGTTGTTGTTATGTACTTGAATTAGTCCTAGAGGAAAAATGAAATATTTCAAAATCACTTTTCAGCATTTCATTTCATTTAATTATTGTGTATTTTTCCTTCTTTTTTATGCTTACGTAACCAGGAAGTTGAGGTACGTATGAAAAATACACATGATGCATCTCTCTTTGGGATTTTGCATGCAATATGGGTAGTGTGTCTGAGAATGTGGGGGTTAACTGAACCAGCAGAAGAGAAAGCACTGGCGGAACTGGTTTCTGTGGTCCCCATATTGCAAGGAAGGAAAATTTGGGACTGGGATAGGGGGATTCAACCCATGTTCTTTAAGTGGGAGCCTCTACTACTGCATGGTATCAGGTGTGTACTAGAGCATTGATTCACAACATTCCTGTCCTCTGGAAAATATTGAGCCCAGAATAGGGATGTGCCACACTTGGAAATCCATTTTGTTTGAACCTGGCTGATTCCAGTATATTTTTTATCCAGTGCACTAGATCCGGTGAAAGAGGCTGTGCCAGTTGTTGTGGGTGGTGCTGTTGTTGGTGTTGTTTTTCTGGACTCTGAAAATGTGTGTGAAGTAGTTGCACACACTGAGAACCAAGATCTGCATATTTGTAGCCCCACTTGTGAAAATGCTGATTTGTACAAATTAGAGCTTTTGCAAATTTGAGTAGAGACTTTGTGCAGTTTTTACGTGATTTTCTCTCTAGTCCATTGTGTAACTCTGTGCATAGCACATTCCCTTGGTAAATATTATTGTCAGGTTTATCCCCTCACTACTTCTCTACTTTGTCCTTGACTGCCAAAATCCCCTACTTCATCTAGTTCAGCATCAGCACTATGATTTTCTGTTAGGCTTCCATGATTTCTACATGAGCACACTTTATATTATTATTTTCAGTTAATTGTTTTGCAGCCAATGTTTTTTGGCCAATAGAGTCATGGTCCCTTCCTCCACATAGCTCCCTATTCTTCTGACCAATATTATGCATGGAGGCTTTTCTTTTTTCTTTTTTTAAGCTTAGGAAATTTCTGTAACTTTCTTGAGCTTACAAAGAATATTAATAACAAGCTCATAGATAATGTTGGTTGCAAGAAGGAAGGGAACAAACAAAGAAATTTAACCCCGTTTTCATAAATCAGACCAGCTGAAAGGGTAATTGGAGGTAAGAATTTAAAATGTTTTTACTTGATACGAGCATACCATGGTATTGAAGCAGGTAACTGTAATGCTAATGCCAAACTAGGCAAAATTGACAATGACAAGTGCTTTGCAAATTTCAGACTGCAATTTGCACAAACTTCCTGAGGGTTTTTTTTAAATGTAACCTCATGGCCTGTTTTAAAAGCAGAATTCCAAGTGGTGTCTTAATTTATATCAGACCTAGTCAGTGCTGGTGCATGGAAAATGAAATGAAAACCATCAGATTTTCTGCTCTCCAAGCTGATTCCTTAAACATTCCCAGCCAAGTGAGAGGGATTCTGGTTCTGATTCCTGGTTTAACCTTCAGCACCACACACTTTTGCAGAGTTCTCAGCCCCCATGCTGTGTAAGACATCAAGTAGTGAGGCTGGTGTACATATTCAAATGATCTGTCAAGAAATAGGCTGTATTTAAAATAACCTTGCTAGTGTACATAGAAAGGGGAAGCAAGTGTTCAAATGCAAAAGATAGTAACAAATCTACAGGGAATGCATGGAACCAAGTGTGAAAATAGTTGGACAACATCTAGTTTTAAGTGCTTTTGTTTATTTATTTATCCATTTATTTAACTTCAATACCATCCAATATGCAAAGCTCTCTGAAATAGGATGATGTGCTATGTCTTTCCAATTCCTTCAATTTAATTTAACTTATTGATTTAACATTATTTTTGGCTACCTTTAAAAAGGCAGAACCCTAAAAGTGGATGCAATAAAAATCAGTCAGAATGTATTCAGTGAGAATTCATAAAAGCACACAGAGTCCACCTAGAAACAATAAAGCAGAACTTGCCAATAAAACCAGCAGCTCAGGCATCGCAAGAAAGCAGTCCAAACCAGAGGGCCTTCTCAACTTTCTTGAAGACCTGCAAAAGAAAGGTCTTGATAAACTGCCAGTGGAAGCTGATTGCAGCCGAGTTTCTGCCCATTCTTTGTTCTCCCACCCTTGTCAGCATGGCTCCCTCCCTATCCCATTTTCTCTTCTTGCCACCGTAAATCTCCCATATATGTGCCATTTCTGCAAAAGCTCCTCTAGGCTTCAGTAATGGGGTGGTTACTGTTCTGATATGGTTTTTCCACATTACTGCATCACTTCACATTTCATGCAACTTGCATGAAAGCATCCCTGTGTCAAAAAATTTGCCACATGCGAAATACTTATGCATAAAAGACAAGACTTCCGTTAAGCAACAACAAAAACCCGCAGTGGCTTTCCCTTTATAATTTATTCAATATATTTATAGGCTGCCCTCTTCTGCAGGTTCAGGAAAAGTTAAGGCAGCCTTAAAAGTTCCCAGACAATACATTTCTGTTCTCAGAAATTTAGATAATGTAGATAATTTAAGAATTTGAAGAATAAAAAGGACTTAAGACATATTAAATAATTGCATTTTGAATTGGGAGACATTAAAAATAATTAAGCTGAATTGAAGTTCATTTCAGATCACAAGAGAGGAGGATTAATTCACTGGAACAGTAGAAAGTTGTGGTGCCTAAACCACTCAAGAGAACCCCTTTTTCATCTAGAAACTTGCAAGTTAAGAGTTCATGACCCAGCAGCTGCACCTCTATGTGAGCCAAACACATGTAGCCATTTTCCCTTTATTTGGTCATTGGCATATTGCTGGAACTGGCTTTTCATACTTTCATGGCCTTACAGTTTCCATTCTCTCTCTGGCAGAATACATTCTTTTCTTTCACACACACACACACACACACACACATATATATGCAAATCACCCATTTCCTGCCATTGAGATGGACAAGTAGTAACCAAGTATCACAGCCAGCAGCACCTTAATGGAAGGGTTAAATGTATCTCTGTTTACGTATTTATTTAAAATATTTATATACCATCCTTAAACCATATAGGATCTCAGGTCAGCTTACATTAAATAAATATATTGGTGCAGTATGATGTTCACACTAATGCAGATCCAGGTACTCAATCACTAGTGTCAGTGTTGTAGCTGATGTAGCATATCATTTCCAGCAATTATTTAAAATTTATAATTGGATGTTGCACAAGATGTGCCAGGGTTTATGCAGATCTATACCGCATATTGCAAATCCAGCCACCATCTTGCTCATTAGTGGGGCCTAAGATCTGGTGGATGTGTGTTGCCCGCGTGGATGGTGGCCAACATGATGGAGGTCACTGGATAAAACTAACATCAGCTCTTCTCCCACTGGCGATATGAAATGTAAAGCTGCTGGCTGCAAAGCAGGTGAATTCATTTGCACCTGCCCTTGCCTTAACAGCCACTTCTGGAATGCTGGTTTTGGAACCATCCGTAGGAGATTATAAGGCTGCACAGATACTTTTCTTTAGCAGCCTCATATCTGTTGACTACCCTTTCTAAGAAAATGCATGTGACCCAATTCCTGTAGAGTCAGAATTGAGCGCTTGTAGTGCTGTAGCTATTGCTATTTACTGCCATTATTTTCATTTTTTGCCATTTTCTGCTGTTATTTTTATTCGATCTTGTAAAATATGTGCAGTTGTGGTTTTCTGTGTGCTGTTATTATATTTTAATATTTTAATGCTGTTTGTATGAACTTATGTTGTCTAGCTGGCTATTGTAAACCACCCTATTGTGAAAGGTGGTTTAAAACTCCACAAATAAATGAACAATCACCCCAAGCACTGTCAAATCCAAGCTCTTCACCTCTGCTGGAACTGTCATAGAAAACTTCCTTTCCATTGGAACCATTGGGGGATTTAAAAAGAAGACTATGAATCTGCTGGGTAAAAAAGGAAAGCAAAGGAAAAAAAATCCCCACCTTTTGCTGTGTTTGGTGAGGCCAGCAGAGCTGTGATTAATCTGCTTTGCTGATTCCTCTGCCTTTCCACGCACACATGCAGGATCGCTGTGTGGCTGCAGTCCGAGTCACCTTAGGAGTACATTCCATTGTATTTGATGAGATATGAAAAGGATGACATTGTTCTCTTGACACGAACATAAGTCCCATAGGTCTGTGTTCATAGAAGTACAGCTATGCTGCTGTTTATGGCTTAATCACAGTATATCTACAGCCTGTCCATGCTATGCATTATGTTGCAAGACATTTCAAAATTTCTAAGAGTTTGAAAAGTAGATTAGGAAGCAGTTTGCACATACAGCAGAATGAGGTGGGAGAGACCTGAAGTGCAGAAAGGATGTACTGCTGCAGATTGAGGATAGATACTCGATTTTGTATATTATTATTATTATTATTATTATTATTATTATTATTATTATTATTATTATTATTATTATAACATTTCTATGCCGCCCCTTGCCGAAGCCTCGGGGAGGCTTACAACACAATAAAATACGTTGGAATACAATAGAACATAATAAATTACCACTAAATACAAAAATACAAAAAATACACTGAGATACAAAATATAAAATTGTATATAAATTGAACAAACCCCAACACACTGCACCAAGCAAACTAGCACATAGGAAGAGAATCTGATTCATCCTTCTCTGTTTGATGTGCTGGATTTGTGGAACCTTACTCCTTTTTGTATTTTTTTAACATGGGGACCATTGAAAAAATGATATTTATGCCTTCAGTCTGTAGCGATAGCCCACTTTATTGGTTTCCTTTTGCTGAAGGCTTGCACCCAACCCAGAGCAGGTTTTGAGATTGTCTCCATTTCCAGGATGGTCACTGGCTGGGAAGGAAGTAGGAACTGCACTGCAGAGTCTTACCGAATTACTGCCATTTCTAAATCTAAAAAGAGATCATGTTCTGTGTCATGACATCAGAAAGAAGTCTAGGACACACAGATGCCACTAAAGTATAAGACTTCACAATTTTAAGGAATTTTTTCCCCACAGAGTGATTCTTACTCCTGCCAAAGGTTATCTGAAGAGGGTAAAATGGGGTAGAAGAGCTCCTCTATCAGCAGAGAGACCCCATAGGTGGGGCAGACTGTTTGTCCCAAAGCCCCTGCCTCCCAATTAGAAAACTACTGGCAGTCTTTCCACCATGGGAAGAGCAAAATTTGAGCATTCTGGAAAGGAGGGAGTTGGAGGTGATCTTGGCTCCACTGGCCCTTTGTCGTGGTCTCTGTGCATCACACCTGTAGGCTTTGCAGCAGAACCACAAGGCCTACCTATTGAAGAAACTTCAATAGGTAGGAGAGAAATAATGATAATGGAACAAAACAGAGTGCTGTTGCAAATGTAAACAGAGGGAGAGAAAGCCTCCAAACCTCCCTCCCTGGTCTGAGAGAGCCAGGGGGGCTGTGGAAAGGGTAGGCCTCCTTCTCATTGCTCTGCAAACTTACAGGTCTTTCCTGCTCCATGGGCCCAGCTCTGTTTCTGGCTGCAGCTCACATGTTGTTGTTCGTCTTATTATTTTGCACTTAAAGTGGTCCTGCACACACATTAAAAATTAAACAGCCAGTGCCTGCAGGCCTGCAATCTATTAAAAAAGACATTTAGGAGGAGACAGAAAGCCGCAAGCTTTCGTGATCTCACCCGACTGTCTTTCTACTGAAGCTGAAATGACACTTTGGAAGAGCCACTTCTTGTCCCTTGCTTATTGAGGGGCGGGGGGGGGGGGGCTCAAAAGAGCACAGGCACGATCATGTGGTTGCTGTTGTTTTCAGCCCCTGGAACATAACACATTTTGCTGTGATGATTAGTTTGGTCAAACCCTCACAGGTGTGCAAATGTGCACTTACAACAGTGGGATACAAGACAAGACTGCATATCGGCTAATTGGAGCACAGTTGCCAAGGACTAAGTGCTGGGTGTGGAAAAGTGCCAGCAAGGAGCAAAAAGGCAGTGAAAGAAAGTACACCAAGTGGGAATGGAGACATTACCAGCCTCTTTGGCAATGTAATTCTCCCGGTCTCAAGTGTTGCAGTGACTGTTCTCAGTCCCATACTCCTTTTCAACACTCCCCAGTTTCTATAGCTACTCTAAAAGGGAGAGATTTTGGACCATTTACTGCGGGCACACACATTTCTCTTCCTTTTACTTCCCAACCCTTAAAATGGTGCAAATGGTGCAAATTTACACTTCATTTATTTTCTAGCCATTACATTTGCATATATTTCTTTGGGAACTATAGCAACTACTGGAGTCAGTGCCCTGAAAAGAAACTGGATAAAGTACAACACAATAAAATAAAATAAAAAAATTGAGATTTATAAAAGTTTAGAACTATAAAATAAAAACCAAAATAAAGCATAGCAGCAGTGCAGAGATTTAAAATATATTAACAGACTGAAAACAATAGAAGATACAAGACTGAAATGGCAGGAAAATAAAAATGTCTTTAACCACGTATGGAAGAATATACAGCCAGGTGAGCATTTCTGGAAAGATCATTCTACCACTGGGATGGCAAAAAGGGCCATCTTCTTAGTAGGCAGTTTAGGGAAGGACCAATGAAGACAAGGGCTGGGTCTGGGCAGGTATGGAAGAAAACTGGAGTCCTGCTGATATAGCAGTTGTGGCCATATCTGGACAGACAGGACCGGGCAACTGTTACCTGTGTTTATTTATAATGATTCCACAACTCACCTTGTGCAAGTACAGTAGATAATGGAGGCAAGTATTTCTACATACTCTTACAGTGTTTGTATACATCCTCCTTAAACACAGGCTACTTCTTATCAGCAAGGGTTGTTTCCATCACATGTTTCCATCCATTTGCAACTCACCATTGCTGGAACATACAGGTATGTATGTTCCAGCAAGGCACTTGCGGCTGACCACAACCCGCAGCCATATATACACATAAACAACAAACACTCATTTACTACTGAAAACAGTCCCTGTTATAATATCCAGTGCAGTTTCTGGCATGATGTAGCTTGTCCTTATGTGTGAATGCAGCCACTGTGTCATTGGGAGTGCAGTGGAATCCAAGCAGGGCTTGGACTTGGATTTGAAAATAATCAAGTTATCTTGTAAAATCTTAGGAAGGCAGTTCCATCAGGTAAGTCCAATGATCAATGAAGCTGATTTTATTTGGTGTATAAGTTTGAGAGTAGCATGCTGCATTTCTAAACCTACTTTCAGCTTAAGGCCAGAGAGTAGTGGGAAGCAGCATATAGAAGAAGAGCTTAGGATATTTGCTTTTGTGTTGGTATTGTGTTTAAATACTAACCCAACAGGATACTTAAGTTTTATTTAATGCTTTATTTCCATCTCCTTCCATTTAGGATGATTATTTCAGAAACTGGAATCCAAACAAGCCTTTTGATCAAGGTAAAAGAAATACTATATTCACCTTGTTAACTGGTTTGTGTTGTGAACCTGGCCTATCTGTTTGAAAATATGGATATTTCTTCCATTTTTTGCCATTTGAGCCCCATCCCATTCAGGGCAAGGTTTTGTTTGTCCTAATAGTATCCACTAGTGTCCATATTTCATTCGGAGTAAACTGTTCAAAACCTGTTAACTCTCTTGATGACATCAAAATTTAATGTGTGTTCATTTCCTTGACTGTAAGTACCATTCAGATCAAGGTATGGGAGAAAGAACAACGTTGACATGTGAATAGTTCGCTTAATGACTATCTAGATGTATAGAATGCCCAGTGCTTCTTTGCTCAACTGAGACATGGCATTATCTCATCATAAGATTATGGAATCAGGGTGTCCTGTTATTTTCTTCCCCGTAGGGTTGTTTGAAAACTTCGTAACTGAAGCTTCTGGAGAGGGTGTTAACCAAAGCCCTCTCTGAACCTGCCGTTGTTGCAGAAAGCAGGAAGTTACTGATATACAGGAGAACTGGGCTATATACTCTGTTGCATACTGCTGCTTCCTCAAATTTCAAAGCAAGCCCATGAGCTGCTGATTAGTAAAACAAAATCCTTTAGTTCCTTATCCAGTGCCGACTGCATCACATATTTCGGACCCAGAGTAATTGGCCTGGATATTCTGAGGGCGTATTCAGAGAACAAATGGCCTGGGAAAGCAGCGGTAAAGTATCAAGCAGCTTCATGCCAACATTCCCAGCAATGATAGATGGGGACAGATGAGTAAATGGTCAGGTTTGAATTTTAATGTGAACTTGCCAGATCTGCAATTCTTGAGCCTAAACACAAGCTGGAACACAGGTTATCAGCAAAATCCATGCTTTTCCAAAAGTCGCAATACAATTTGCTAAAGACTCGCACAAAAATGCATAGTTTTTTTTAAAGTGTTCACAAAATATTTGAAAATATTTACAGAAACAGTTATTTACTGGAGAATGGATTTTAAAAGTACATGTGTCTGTAAAACTGAACGCAAAAATGTACGCCTTTTTAAAATGTCCCATAGACTCCTTTTTATAAAATACAGAGGCTATGACACAAAATAAGCCATATAAATTGTCATACAGAGTTGGAAGAATCAAACTTAAGCCAAAACAAGACTGAATGTAGTTAACAGTGAAATAGAAATATATCAATGAAATCAAGCTCAAAGAGAACCTGGCTTCAAATGAGAACCTTATTTCAACAAAACCCTGTTTTCTTAGGTTCTGCATAGCACCTCAATTTTTAGGCATTAAATGAATACAAATATATTGTTTCCCAATGCTGCAATACCATTTTTCAGTGTTCTGTAGCAGTGAAATTGTCATACAGTTAAGTGCATGGGAAGGTAGCGAAAGAAAAGGATGTGGAAAAATTAAAAAGAGAAAGGGTGACTCCCCCGCCCTGCTTTGTGTTTGGCCCTGGCCACCACCTGGTTGCGTCTAAGAGATTACCCATGAGTGAGTGTGCCCCTTGATTGTCTATAAATAGTTCCGAATTTACAATGATTCAATTATACCAACTATGGTGAGATCTGTAGCATCACAACATCTTTTTTTGTATTTCCATATTTATTGTTCTGCTTCCTTCCTGCCTTCTGTCCCCTCATGTCTGGTGTGCGTGTGTGTATGTGTGCAGTGAACATGTATATCTTGGTTTGGCTTCTTGATATAAAAACCAAAAGCCAGTATTAGCAGTACTGCCATACTAGCACCAAAGGACCATGTTTTTAAACGTAATTCCTGTTACATCCTGAGTGCAAAAGCCTTCAAGGGTATATGCATTGGATGTGTTGAAGGAAAAGGTATCAGAACAGTCCTTCTCTCGTGCACGGTTTACAGAAAAGGAGTCGTGCTGCATTGTAGCATCATCTCCTAGCAAGGAACTATTGGCGGGAAATCTACACCGGCTCCCTTTCCATTTGTGAGGGAACTCAGCTGCAGTATTTATGCAGAATGCATTATCTCTATGTGGATACATTGAATGCAGCATATTTGAAAATGTGCTGGAAATGTGTCACACACCGATGCAATTGTGGAAGAAGTCAGACGAGTTGGAAAGGAGGTGTGTGCAGGAAATGGCCTTTCAGGGTTCTTTCGTTGTTGCATTTGTTCAGGTTTTTAAGCCCAATCGCCTGTGTTGAAGGGGCAGAATAGTGGAGCTATTTAGGAAAAGATGAGCAAATGTTCATCTTTGCTTGATTGCTGTTGGCTCCTTCCTTCCAACCTTCATGTGCCGCTGGAGCCAGGGAATCAGCAGCCTCAATACCTTCCACAACTGCAAACCCCTCCAATGTGGACCTTCCCACGAATCGACTCAGTGGAGTCAAGCAGACTTAACTGCAGTGAGGCCACTGAAAATACTCTGATTTACTTCTGAGTAGCTGTGCATTTTGGCTTGTTGCTTCTTGAGCAAGAGGCCAACTTATTCACTGGGGAAAGGCTGGTAAGTCCAAGAGAGGAAGAATCCATGGGGATGGGGGAGTGATAAAGCAACTGAAGGATTGCGGCATTTTGCTGAGGCTTCAGTGGGACACTTCCTCTTCCACCCACAGCCCAATTGAAGACCCCAGAACAGTACTGCACATTTGGCACATACTGGTGTGTGTGTGTGTGTGCGCGCGCATCCTGAAGAAAACTGCAATAGATTTTTAAAAAGCCATGCAGATAACGGGTATGAAGAATTCCAGGCTGTATTGGGAAAAATAGTGCGAGGAGGTCAGGTTTGGTGAATGTCACAAGGCATGCCAGTCAGTCGGGCAGGTTACAATGCCTTGTGAAGGCTGCTACAGTAAAGCTATGAAGAAGTCGACTGTCCAAGAAAGAACATGACCAACTGGTGGCATCACAAAGCTTGCAGATGAGGAATCATCTGCCATGTGGGAGGTCAAATAGGTAAGGAGTAAGTGCCAAACCATTGCTACAAACTCTCCATTTACCACAGTATCCTGTCAGTGATATTTTTGGATAAATGCAAGATGTAAAACAAAGGAGCTGTGATACCTCTCTGGATCTCTCAGGAATATTTCCCTCTTTTTTGTGGGTCCTGCCCTCCAGAGATACATGGAAGCCAGTGTACTGGAAAGTTGGAAAGTAATTTAGCAAGTCCTGCTAGCTGCTCTGGCCTATATAATTTCCACAGCTATCAGTTTGTAGGATCTGAAATCTCCAGGCGTCCCACAGCAGTGTTCCTCAAACATTTTGATTTTTCCAGCTTGTATTCCAAAAATGTATTCCAGTTTTGTCACTGCCCAGAGTATTGCTGCCGTCTTCTGTGCAGATGAACATGCAAAGATTCCTGCCCGTTCTAATGTTGCTGCTGCATGCAAGGATCTGCCTTCAGGAACCTAATCTGAAAACTGCCTTTAGAAGATGAGATCTCTAATTCCAGCCATGCACTAGTCTCAGGGAAACATCATGACTTCAGGGCTATAGCCCAGTCTGCCTCCCTTCTTTTCAACTCAGGCTAGGGTTAGGGAAGCAAGGGGGCAGTCCCTCAAATCCAGTGCCCTCCTAGCCAGGTCTTAGCTTGAGGTGAAGGGGAGGGAGCAAAACTATGAGCAAAAGCTCCGCATCCTGTGCCACTCCTCAAGGGGTTCCACATCTTCTTCAGGGGAGCACCCCACAGAGAGGACCTACTATTCAGCTTAGTGGAGCAGATTCCTTCAGTCTTACATTGACAGATTGGGCACATCACCATTCTTGCTATGGCAGTGTAGATTGCACTTAACCATTTCTGCCCGTTGAATGAAAGGCAAAGAGTCCAAAAGCATTCCCCTGAAGAGTAGTGCTAACACAGGTTACTGTTGGATAACATTGGACATAAAAGGAGAGTGCCCCTTTCCCAGAGGAGCTTTTGCATCTCTGCTGAACCAGGTGGTATGATAGCAGTGTGTCATTCTGCATAGATGCTCAGAAACTCTCAAACAAGATAAAAACAAAACTGCCAAAATACCTTTCCAATAAGACTCTGCTCTTGGCAAGGAGAATGTGCAGGACAATTAACCTTCCATGAGTCTTGCCTCGTTAAAATGTAAGCAGATGCTATTGATCTTCTTTACTCTGCATGTTGCCCACTGCAAACAAGCACTGCAGGCATGGTTACATATATAAGTGGGCAGCATCCCAGACGGGTGGTCAGCGTTACAGGTCATGTGTTTTGGTCAATCGCTGTAGAATAACCAGCAAGTAATGTGTTTAAAAAATCCAGGCATTCGCTGACACATTATAGAACATTACAAAAGTATTCTTCTCTGTATGCACTGCTACACTGTATGCAATGTGATACGCATCAAAGAAATTGGAGATCAGTGTGTTTCTTACTAAGAGTTAAAACTGTACTCAGGATATAATCATTGCTACAAAAGAGCTGCATTGTGCAAAGCTGCTTTGCCCTAGAATTTATCTCCTGTGTCTTTCTAGACACAACCTTAGGACTAAGGTATTAGACAGTTGTGCATGTGAGATTCAAGTCTGGCACTACTGGAATACCAATGAAATAGCTCTTTGTTTTCAACTAGATGTTCAGCGGAATGTCCACAGACTACCTAAAGCCCTCTTTGATCCTTGCTCCCAGAATTTAAATATGTTTTTTGTGTTTCACTGCTCGCTGGCACAGAATTAGTTTCTCTTTGGGCATTTTCATGTATTATCTTGTTGTGCAAAGAAGGTATTTGTAGTGGGACACACCCTTTTTCTAATCAGGTCATAAGCTTTTCTCCAGTCCTGAATAGATCTGCATATATGTTGATGGAATGTGTGTCAGGCAGTGGGGAAGGGTTGTTTTGTTTCTTTACTGAAATGTGACCATTTTATATAAGTAACCCATATATGCTTGCATTGTAATAACTGCTGATTTTTATTGCCTCATATTTCCTGGGATGCTAATGTCCTTGTATACTTAGAATTCTAATGATGTCAGTTCTCTCTCCCTTATATTTATAATTGCCTTACTTTCAAGCAGCTAA